TGGAATTGCAGAGGAGAGAGAAGAAGGTATCAAGGATTTCATCCCAAATACAGTTTATAAGTCTTTAGAAAGACAAAGGTGACTGTTTTGCTCTATGTCACTGTCACTGAGCTGACCCCTGCAAACCACTCCACTCAAACCACTGTGGGCACCACTTCAATGTCCTCAGGAGGAGTGAATACCTTCTTTGGGAAGTGGGCTTCTCTTTGTGTTCATATAGGTCTGCATAATTTCCTTTTAAGGTCATACATTATCTGTGAGGCCTTTTCTGGGGCCTGCTGAAAACCAACACCTGCCCACCTATCTGTTTATCATTCACACCAGCAGATTTGATTTCCTCTGACCACACAACCCTACCTGGAGTCACCCTGATAGTTTCTGTGTTTACCGCCAGACAGTCCAGTCAGACAGGAACTGGAAGCTCAGCATGAATAAATCCTTTGTCTGTCTTACCCACTACAGCCCCCCATGTTAGGCCCCTGGCATCCCCAAACAAAAGAACTGAGAGCCCAGTACCCACCCGCCCCCTGCGGGGTGTAGGGTGACCAGTTTGCTAGGGGTTCTCCCTATTTTAGCACTGAAAGCGCCCATCCTAGGATACTCCAGTAACTGGGCTCTATATGTTATCCAGAATGAGCTGGGATGATTAAGACAGGTAATTTTAAATGACACCAAGTGTTCTCTTAATATAAAAGCTTTCTTGGAGTAAAATAATAAGTTTGCAGATTATCCTTCAGGGCTGTTAAAATAAAAGTCTTTGATTATAAAATTAAACGATCTTAGCATATCCATTTGTATTTGTCTTAGCACTTAAAATACATATGCGACACATGGTTGAAAAAAATGGATCACATTGCATTTCCCAGGTATGTTTTCAAATTTATATGTCATTGCAGAAATAATGTGTTACAAACACTGCAGAAATGACTCATTGCTGCTAGGGTTAGAAATTTCCCACTTAAAGTCACTTCAATTCCTAAAATAAGTTTACTCATATGTTTCTTCTACATTTTCCTGATAAAAGTCAAAAAATTGAGTCTACAAGTTTTATTTTCAAAAGTATTCTTTAGCATCTCTCTTCCTCCTCCTCAAAACTGCAGAGAGGAGTAATTATGCATGGACAACAACTAAGCATCACAGGCCTTTAAGATGGGAAGGGCTAGTTGGCCTTCTGTTTTCAAACATTTCCAAAAATAAGCATGCAGTCCCTTTTCAGTGAATTAAAAATGCAACTCTGAGCATCTGAAACTAGTAATTCAGGAACTCTCAGGAAAGGGGGGGGGGGGTCCAGGTTCCCTGCCCTACCCAAGGGAGGGTGGAGCTGTTTTTTATTGGTCTACAATAGTTGACGGAGAATATGAACAGAAAACAAGACTGGCCTTGCAATGAAGAAGTCAAACAGATAAGCAGAATTCATTGGTTTACAGCAGGACTTGCAAACTCTTTCACATCATGGTACAGATAGGACAACAGCCTATTTGCACATAGTGATAGCAGGCATCTTTGTACTACTCCCAATCTTTTTTTTTTAAAGATTTATTTATTTATGCATACAAGAACTGAGGTACAGGACAGAGGTGTGGGGGGTGAGAGGATTCACTGGAGACAGAGTGAAGAACAGAATAGGCGATTTGACTGAAATACACTGCTGAGGGGAGCAGCGGGTGAGACAGGAGTGGTCTGCTGCACCATGGGGGTAGCTCCCTGGCCAGAGATCGAACTCATGTTACAGTAGCTGTGGATTGCTTCAAGGGTTGTGTCTTAACCCCTTGCACCACCAGGGAGGCCCACTACTCCCAATCTTAAAAGAGATGTGTCTAAACTTTTTCCATTAATATGTGTGTGTTTGCTGTAGGGCTCAGGTATGTTGCCTGCATCAACTAAGAAAGTTTCCTCTATTTTGATCATTTTTATTAGAAATCAAGATGTTACTAGATATTTTTTCTGCATCTATTGACATGTAGGGGCCATTGTTCCCTTCTTCATTTATTCACCCTTGCTTTCCCCCTTCCCTTCTGGTAACCACTAATTTGTTTTATAGTGCAAAAGCATATTTTTCTTTGTATTTAATGTTTGTTTTCTCTATGCCAAATGAGTGAAGGCATATGGTGTTTGTCTTTCTCTGTGTGGCATACTTCACTAAGCACAATTCCCTTTAGTTCCACTTTCAGTCACATTCTTGTAAAAGCGAGTTACAGGCCCAAACCAAGGGTGGACCACCTGCTACTGGATGGAGAGAGGTCACCTTGAAAATGACAAGTGTAACAGGGCTGGAGTATTTGTGACAACTTAAAATTTACCCCAAAGAGAGATGTGGTACTTGAAGCATCTAATTTCGCTATTGCAGATATAGCAAGAACAGTAGCCAGTGGTGCTAATGATAGATTCCTAATCTCTTTCAGCTTCTTAAACTTATCAACATAACTAAGTGTCTTAGCAAGCACTCACTCCTCTCTGGGCCAGTCTATTCTAGTTGGTTTCTGAATCTACAGTAACATTTTTTTCTCAATTCTTGATTTTTTAGACAATAAAAATACTAAGTCACTTTATTTCCAATATAAAGTGTTATCAGTTTCTTTCCTTTAGTCAATGCTTTATGAACCCATTTTCTAAAAATTATGAATCATGTTGCTTTTGAGGCTGTCTTTCTTATAAGGACCCTTGTGATAGTGCTGGGCCAACCTTCACAATCCAGGATAATTACCCTGAATAAAAATCCTTAATACATCTGTAAAGTCCCTGTTCCCCATAGAAGGTACCATCTCATGCACAGGGACTAGGGACTAGGACATGGACATCTGTGTGGCCATTTTTTCAACTGCCACATCCCCCCTCCCACATTCACTTCCCACAACTTTCTTCTCCATGACCTCAACACTCTAAACCAAACCCACTCAGCATTCTGTATTTCCTCAGCCTTCACAAGCATCCATCCCTCTATTAGAAAAGCAAAAATATACCATAGTGGCTAAGAGGCTTAACTCTGGAGTCAAGACAGGTTGGATTCAAATTTGCATGTGCACTTACTTGCTATATGGATTTGGACAATTTTTTTAAACCTAGAATCTAAATATTGAATTACAGGGAAAGAAAATTAAATAAAACCACAAGAAAGTAATTACCTACATACATTGAATCAACTGTAGGATGTTCCAAAGGCACAAATACCTGTCTTCTCTGATAAATTCGTATTTAAAAATGTGACTGCTGTTGGCAGTGGAGCAGACTGGATGCAGATTCAAACCAATCAACCAACCGAAAAAGTTCGTATGTGAGGCCACTGGGGAATCTGAACCAGCCAGTGGAGAATAATGAGGAATTTTAAGTAATGACAGTGAGTTGTACACTGAATCCAGAGATGTGCACCAAAGTATTATTTCAGAGTGAAAAGACATTATATTTAAGGTGCTTCAAAGTTATTTTTGGCTGGGGGGGGGGGAATCAACAGAGGAAACAAAACAGGCAAATTGTTGCTGAAGCTGAGTGGTACATGGGAGTTGCTAACACCTGTGTGTGAAATCCTGCACAGTATGTCCGTAAAAACACATTTAAGCAGCTTTTCTTTTCCAGGTTCTGCCATGGAAGCCTTTCCCCAGGTTGTCCTTCTCCACCTCCCTGAAGTGTATTCACTTTTCCCACCACGGCACATAATTACGCCTCTATAGTCAGGCATACATTATTTCTCAAAATTTGGTCTTCGCGTCTTTATCTTGCGGGGGCCGGGGGTCTGGCTTGTGTTGGTTAGCGCGGCGCAAAGGTGTCCTGGGGCGCGTGGGGGACACACCCCACCCCGGCAAACAAGCCACTGCAGCGGCTGCGGGGGCGGGCGAGAAGCCCGCAGGATGCCGCGGACCTAGCGCTGTTCTCGAAGGCGGGGACAGGTGAAGGGGCTCGTCGGGGAGCCGAGGACGAGACGCCGGGTGTGGGGTGCACGTGCGTGTGTTTTGGGGGGCTCTCTTGGCTGCAGTGGCTTGTTTATTTAAGAGCCTTTTATTTGCCCCCTCTCCTATCTTTTGACCCCCCCTTTACCCTCTTCACCCCCCACCCGAGGTGTATCCCACCGGCATTGTGCGGGAACCAACACTGTGCAAACCTCGGCTACAGGCGCGAGGTGGACGGTGTGACCAAAACCGAAAAGCTCCCTCTCCTTGTCCTCGGAAAGCCACCGCCGTCTCCACCCTGGCGTGTTTCCAGGCCGCTTTATTTTGCAGGTACCTGTGTTTAAACTAGGGCTCATCCTAGGCGCCGAGGGAATTTCCCAAGCCCCCGGGACCCCAGCGCCCGGGAGCAACACTGTTCCCGGGGAGCCTCCGCCCGTCGCCTCAGTGCCAGAGAGGGTCGCCCCAGCGGGCCAAGGCCGCGCGCACGCACCGCCCGCCCCCTCCGCCAGCCACTAAGCGCCGCTCTGCCGCGGCTTTCGGTAGCCTCCACGCAGCCGGGCGCCGCACCACACGGACAGTCCCGCGTGCCTCACCCACAAACCCGGCTTCGGGCGGCTGCGGAACCCCACCCCGTCACACTCCCACTCAGGACTCCCTCCACGCCCGCCCCAGCCCGACTCCTCACTCGCCTCAGGGCTCACACACCTGCGCGACCGGGCGCGCCCCAAACTGAGTTTGCGCAACGGCGACCGCTCAGCGAGCGGCCCCGCCTAGGATTCCCCAAACCCCGCGAGATCTCGTTCCTCCCCCAGGTCAGCCGCACCAACGGCTTAGCGGACCTGGAACGTTCTAAAGCCCTGCGCACGCGCTTTGCAGCTTTCAACGCCCCGGCTCCGCCCGTCCTTGACCACGCCCCTTTATCTCAGGATGCTCTCCGCCTCCACGTCATGCCAATCATTCACGTCTTCCCGCTGGCAACCTCGCAACAGGCCTCTCATTCGCTAGTCTTAGGAATGAACGCCTCGGAGAGGCGGCAACGATAGGCTGGAAGTCAGCCCCGCCTTCCCGCTGTATGCGCGGAAGACGATTGGCCGGCACCGCCGTCCAATCAGCGGCGGGCTGTCGGATTCAAACCGGGTTCGTTGGGCCTGTGGTCGGTTGGTCTCAGTCGAGTCGTTGCCTTGGCCCGAGGTGGTCGTGCGGCGCGCTGTGTCCGCTCTTCACGCACCTGTCGCTTCGTCCCCGCCGCCGCAGGATGGCCCACAAGCAGATCTATTACTCGGACAAATACTTCGACGAACACTACGAGTACCGGTAAGCTGCAGGATGGCTCCTCAGCCGCAGCACCGGATGCGGGCTCCGGGCGGTGGGGAGGGGTTGTTGGAGGTCGGATTTGGGCCGAGGTCGCTGTGCTCGGTCCCAGGCTTCGGGCCGGACCGGGGTCGGGGGTCGACTGTGGGGCGGGTGTGAGGGCTTGAGTAGGGGCCGCGGCCATGTCGGGCTCGAAGTTCCTCAGGTCGGGGCTGGGGGCGAGTCCTGGTCGAAGCCCTCGGGCTTTAATCACGTCGGGCCGTGTCGGGGTTCGGTCGGATCGGAAGTGGGGGCCGGGCTTCCTGCCCGTCGGGCCCCCGCCCTTTGTTAGGTGGGTGAGGACGAGGCCGGCGCCAACAGAACGGGCGAGAGGCTGCCACCGCCGGGTTCCCGACCACCGCCGGGGCGCGCTCCGGGATGGGGGCGCCCCCGCAGACGCCCCGGTGCCCCAGGCCCTGCCGCGGAGGGTGTTCGGTGGCCCGTTGACTTGGTCTGTCTCTAGCGTGGAGAGCCTCTTGTCTTGCTCTTGAGGGCGGCGGTGCCAGCACCTACCCTGAGTGGGAACCCCGGGAAATTTTTGGATCGGGATTCGGAAGTGTTCACTGTTAGTGCGCCCTGCGCTCGGAGTGCGGTAGTTAACCGCGGGCCTGGGTGACCCCGGAGGAGAGGACACCCGCCGGCGCCTCAGGTGAGAGTGCGGGTGGCTGCGTGGCTTCCCCGCCTGCCAGCTGACTGGCGCTGTGGCATCTGGGGCTTCAAACCAACGTGGAAAACTGGGTCCGCGGCGGGTGACGGGGAGGAAGCGGCCCCTAACGATCCGGAGCCTCATTGTACGCGGGGACTCCGCTGGGGCGTGGCTTCCGGCCGCCCCTCCCCCCTCCCCGTTGGGGTGCCCGCGACGCTGCATTCTGGGTCGGCGCCGAGAAGTAGGCGGGGCCGAGTAAATGATCTTGTTTTCTGAATTCTCTCCCCTTAGCTTGGATTTACGAGAAAATTACTTGAGGGAGAAAGGACAAAAAGAGGGTGGCCTGCCTCTGTTTATCCCCTGGTGTCAAGGAGGCCTGTCTTCGTTGGAGAAAAATAGGACCTTTTAGGGTAACTTTAAAATTAGTGACACCCTCGTTGTGTTTCATATTCCTAGCTGCAAAAGTTTTCTTCTAACTGTAGGTAAATTTGAAGTCAATCATCTTTTGTACTAGATAGTTCCAGTCATGTCATATATGGGCATAATATTCAACTGTGTGATGTAACCTAAGAGCCCAGCTGGGGATAACCAGTAACGTAAACTCTAAATACCGTTCTAAAATCTGGAACACTACTCTGAAACACTTCTCGCCCCAAGTAGATTATTTTCAAGATGTCTCTTAGGAGTAACATTTTTACTTTTAATATGCTAGCACAATCTTTATAAGCACCGAGTAAGGAAGGCTGTGTTAACATTTTAGCCTGATGAAGTGGATTGTTTGTAGTATAGAAGAAAGTGTTGTCCTAGCCAAGTGATATATTCTAACCCAGTATTAAAGCTGGTCTTCACCAAGTCGTGTTATGAGACAGAATAATAATCTCCTGACATACATTTAAAGGCAAGGCTATACTGATGATAAATCACCGAAGTGTGATTCCAGGATGGTTTGTGTGTGGTGGTATGGCATGCGATATATATACTTCAATGGTTAGTATTTACTTTTGCCAGTATGAAATTACTTGTTGTTTTTCTAAATGAGCTTCAGAACTAAATGGGGTTACATGTAAGGAGTATGCTGGATTGTATGGATTTAAGTTCATAAAAGCTGTGATTTTGTATTTTTAAAAAACCTTTCCACAACTACCTTTCGAATTTGGGACTTCCAGTATTCCCTTAGTAGCTCCTTTACTTATTTTTGGCCTTCTTGACACTCTCCACCCCCCCCCCCACCACCCCCCATGCCCTATGGTACTGAAATACTGAATTTGGGAAATAATTTATGTGGATATACATTACAAAGCTAGTTAGCATTAATCTTTTTGAGACTAATCAGTTGTGGTAGAAGGTAGAAATAAGATAACAGTGTATTAGTAGAGCCTTAAGAGTTTATGCAGCAACTATGACATTATAATTTGACTTGGTGACCTCCTGGCAATCTAGCAACATAAACAATTTTTCTAAGGCTCCATGTTGTCCTGCAATAATACTAAATTGGTACTTAATTAACTAACCTCAGACTCAAACCCGTAGGTTGATGACAGCTTATGCTAATAATAGGTTACAGGTTTTGTTACCCTCTATGCCAGAAATTGCGGCCAGGTTGTACTTTTTTCTCATTCTGTAGCCTCACAGATAATTCATACTGGAAAAAGGTCTGGGTGGTGGTTATGGATGTTTCTGTATAAAACTGTTAAACTGCCACTAGAAATGGTAAAAAATGGGTCTGGGGATTAAGGGGTTACCAATATGTTTTCAATAATTACAGAAATCTAAAATTGTACATATTCTTGATTTGGCATAGAAGAATATTACATGTCTTCTAAGAAACTTAAGTTTTGGACATAGGTCAGTAACTTAATGGTTGAAGATACATATGTATTCGTAATCACTGGGGTTTTTAAAAATATTTATTTATGCATACAAGAACTGGGGTACAGGCCAGAGGTGCAGGGGGTGAGAGGATTCACCAGAGACAGAGTGGGGAGGAGAACAGGTAAACTGAAATACACCGCTGAGGGGAGCAGCAGACCAGGCAGGAGAGGTCTGTTGTGCCATGTGGGTAGCTCCCTGGCTGAGGGGGTAGTGGGGGGATGTATGACTGCAGAGACTGCGGACAGCTTCATAGTGCTATTCTTAACCCCTTGTGCTCCAGGGAGGCCCTGCAATTACTGTTTTTTAGTAAAAATTTTGAACAAAATACAAAGCATAAAGCAAATTCTGGCGTATACAAGAATTTGTATCTACTATAAGTCTAATGTTGAATAAAGAAATCCAAATTTGGATTTTTCTGTCTTGTGCAAAAGGCTCTAAAGGGTTAGGATCATAGTCAGGGGCTATCTTCAGTTTGCGTTCCATTCTTTGGTCCTGGATGTCTTTTCTAGCTTCCTGATCAGAGCCAGTAGGAAGGAGAAAAAGAAGAGTCAGTCATGTTTCTTCTGAAGACCTTTTCCACAAGTTGCATGTTTTCTGCTTGTATCCTGTTAGCTTCAATTTAGTCACATGACCCAAAGTAGCTGCAGGAAGTTTTGGGTAACTGTGTGCCCAATTTAGTTTTGGGGGTTCTATTCCTAAAGATGATTGAGACCACTAATAAGCAGTCTTTGTTGGGGAAACAGAAAAAGTTAATACTAATAAGATAGCCTTCTGCATTTGAATTGCATAGCATTAATTTTCTAATTTGAAGCCATCGAGAATCAGAATTAAGGATGGTAATCTTCAAGAGTGACACCAGCTATAATATGACAAATAGAATTGCTTTAAAGAATTGTTTTGAGGACAAAAAGCTCAAATTTTAAATAGCCCAAAGATGCCTTCATAATCATAAATGTACAAAACACATATTTATGCAGAGCACAAATGCTTGATGTCTTTTTGACAGGCATGTCATGTTACCCAGAGAACTTTCCAAACAAGTACCCAAAACCCATCTGATGTCTGAAGAGGAATGGAGGAGACTCGGTGTCCAACAGAGTCTAGGCTGGGTTCATTACATGATTCATGAACCAGGTAAGTTGCTATTTAGCATGCAGCATTAGCTGACCCAAAATAGAAGTATATATTTAGAATGCTGGTGTGTCCCCTCTTTGAAAACTAAGAACTTGTTTAAAGAAGTGTTTTTAAGTTTTGTGCTTAGAAATTAATGCAATTGTCTTCCTTTAGTCTTTACTATTAAAGGACAATGGTATGTACCATTTAAAATTTAGTAACAGCTTGTGAACTCACATGTGCTGTCTTTTTCATGCATTAGGAGTACTCATGCATAAAGTGGTGTTATTAGCCTGAAGGATTTTTAGATGCTAGATAGTAAAATACACCAAAAATTTCTGGAATTTATTCTTTTGGGTTATCAATAAATCTTAAGGGATTTAGAATGCTTTGAACAAAAATTAGAAGTCGTACAGTAGAAGCTGACTGAGTTAGGTGGAGCTAAAGCTATCTTGCTTTCTACTCTTGTTAAAGAAAAGCGGCAGCATCAAAAACTTAAAGAAACATAACTTTCTTGGAATTGGGGGTGTGTGTTTGTATTGGAGTTTAAAAAGGTCTTTCTCGAGATAATACAAAGCAACTGAGGAACGTAACTAGATTCCTGGTCCCTACCTACTGATGTAGTCTACAGGGAGAGGCCCATGGGACCTTCATTTTCCCAGCTGTTGGCTTTTCAATGAGGTGTTAGATATCTTCCCGAGGAAAATATAACTTATAACTACCTCTTTACTTTTCACTGGGATTAAGATTCTAAATGTAGAAATCATTCCTTGAAGTAGCTTCTCTACTTAACTATTCTTTTTCAAAGGTGGGTAAAACCTGGCAAAATATTCTGATTGTCAGATTGTTTTCTTCTGCATACTGTTGGCATTGACATTGAAGCTACCTCAAATAAGTATTTTAACTGACCATAGATTTTACTTTATTTTTGGATTGGTTGAAAATTCTTTCAATTTTTGAATGAGTTGAAAATTGACCATATTATATACTAAAATGATTTTTTTTTTTTAATTTTCTTTCCACAGAACCACATATTCTTCTCTTTAGACGACCTCTTCCAAAAGATCAACAAAAATGAAGTATATCTGGGATCGTCAAATTCAATCTTTCAAATTTAATGTATATGTGTATATAAGGTAGTATTCAGTGAATACTTGAAAAATGTACAAATTGTTCATCCATACCTGTGCATGAGCTGTATTCTTCACAGCAACAGAGCTCAGTTAAATGCAACTGCAAGTAGGTTACTGTAAGATGTTTAAGACAAATTTCTTGTAGTCAGTTCTCTTAATATAAGTGCCTGTTTGATTTTACCTGTTACTTTTGTTAAATAAAGTTTGTATGTTGCATTTATCACTGAAGTTACTGAGGTTTATTTTCTTAAGATTGATTTGTGACTTGAGGTTGCTCTAGTCCTGAGGTAATAAATTTACTTTAAAGAAATATTAAATGGGCTTAAAATAGCTCAGTGTGATGAGAATACCATTTAATTAGGAAGAGACCAGAGATAAATTTAATGGAACATAAAGCCCTAGTCTGGTAGTTCTGTAGAGAAAGGGGTGCCTTCACATTGGGAGCACAATACTGAGAGTAGTGATGAACACTAGCCTCAGCCCCTGATCCCCAGAGACCCATCAGCTAGAGCTGCTTCTAGGATCAGCAATCCAAAGATGGCAGGACTGTTTTACATAAACTTAATTGCTTTTGGAGTCGACCCTAAAGAAACCAGAGGGGGGACCCTCTAGCACTGATTACTGCCCAAACTCCTAGCACTCTTGAGGTTTGGGTGTGTCCAGGCATGGTTAGTCAACCTACGGGCCCGCCCAGGGATCCATGGAATAGAGCTGGAGGGGTCTGCATTTCCTGACTCATCACCTGGTAGTCACTCAACCGATGGCCATGGGCAAGAAGAGGAAACTTACATTTATTCTCCAGCCTACAGTTTTCGCCCACACTGGTCAACCTTCAATCCATCTGGCCCCTGTATCCTCTGTCCCTCCCCACATCACGTCCTGCATCACGCCTTGTGCACTTTTGCACCGCCACCTTTCCCAGTGTTCTAATGGGCGGGGTAGCGGGGTGCTGGAAGGGACCTAGCAGTTACGAAATTTTCTGCTAGGTTAGTAGCCGAGTCCCAATCCCCAGGTCTGTAGCGTCTCCACAGACCCTCTCCTTGCCGGCCCGCAATTGGACAACGTCCGCTGCCTTCGTAGCGACCACTCAATAACCCCACCGGGCGCTGCTCTTAACGGAGTCACTGCGCAGGCCCAGAGCTGCTTCCGCCTCCCTCGCTTCCGCCGGAAGTGGGGTGGATCGGGTCGCGTTTCTGTGACGCACATCCTGGCGTCGGCTCCGAAGGCGGAACCGTGGGGACGAAAAGCGCCGCGGCTCTGTCCCGCCAGCCTCCTGGGCCGCTACTGGGCTCCCCGGCTGGGACTCCTCCGAGCCGTCCGCCATGGCCTCGGAGAGGCCGCGGGAGCCCCCAGGCGAGGTGAGGACGTCGGCGTGGGCCGGAGACTGAGTGGGCACGGCGCGGGGCGGCGGGCGGGCGTCCGCTAACTGAACCCCGGGGCGCGCCTTCACTGCCACGGGGAAACGCGGTGAGGAAAGCTCTTGTCGGGGGACCCTGGCTGGTCTCGAGGCTGCGGGCGCTTGTGGCCATACCCGGGAGCAGAGCCTGTTAAATCTCTGCGCGCGAAGCGCTTTGCGTGACCGCCAGATGGAGCCCTGGTGACCGCGCAAATGGTGTTGAGGCGAATTAAAAACACCTGGGTATGAAATTACAAAGGTAAATTTCCCGATAGGGTCTGAAAACTAAACTAAAAGTCAAGAACAAGGGTTACAGTTAAGCATTTCTCGGGTATATTTGCCCACAGTTCCTCGGTTTTCCCTAACTAACGTAGACACAGGTGAAATAAAATTAAGGTATCATTGTCAGTTGTGGTCCTAACTATTGCTATATAATCTGGGTTTGAATTTTTCTTCCACGTTAATTGCTTGCCCGCATTTTTCACTTTTAATATTTCATAACTACTTTTTCTAGTAAAAAGCATTTAGGGAGAAATTGAGCAAAATAATTTTTGTCTTTATTAGGCAGAAGTATTTGAACAACCACAGCATTTTGGGATTGCTGGAACTCAGCGACTCTCTTGGGAGTGGGAGGTGGTTTGCTTATATTTGGTTGATCTCAAAATGTATGTAGCCAGAACCCCTTTTTTTCCCCTCAGGGTATCAAGTTGTCAGCAGATGTGAAACCGTTTGTCCCCAAATTTGCTGGGCTCAGTGTGGCATGGACAGAGTCTTCAGAAGCTCGTGTGTTGCCTAGCTGTGCAGCCCCATACTATCCCTGTGTTCAGGAACTACCGGTGCCTGAGTATGTATCCAAAAGGTCTTGATTACCGGGGGACTGTAATACCTGAGAGTGCTCAGAGCAACTAGACAATGTACTCCTCAGGCAGGAATGTTCTGAGCCAGCAGCACAACTTAGCCATGTCCTGAAAACTGGAGCTTCAACTCTCCTTTTTCCTTACTCACCTGATTATTTTAGGCAAAGAATATGTAGAGACTGCATTGCACTAATTAGTGGGAAATGCACTTTCAGGGTTCATTTGTTCATGCCGTTTAAAACTTTATTAAATATCTGATGGGAGAGATGAAATGACACAATGGTCTGGCGAGGAAGTGGGGCAGACAAAAGGCCAAAGAAATATCCTGCTTTTGTTTTTGGTTTAACATTTAAAAATCTTTCTCAGGATTAGTGGTGGCTGGCAAACATACCTGCCTCTTGGTGGTTAATTCTTTGGAAGTTGCTGGATTTTGCTCTTGGCTGTTTTACTTTATTACTTAAGGAGATGTAGTCCACAGATTCTGGTTATAAATGCTTTAAAATGTGAATTGAAAGAGGCTTATGATGGCCTTTAAATTTGCTTTATTCTTTTACAGATTTGTTTAGGCATTGGCAAAATGGTTTTCATTATTAGCTGAATTTAGAAAAACATTGTTAAGTATATAATTGTGTAGGTTACTTGCAGATTAGTTTTTGAGATATGTATGACTTTCATGCTTAGTTAAAAATCCTTGTATTTATATTCCTTTGATATAGATCAAACATGGTGTTGGTTTTTTTCTTCATACCTGTATGTTGTGGTGGGAAATAGTTTATACTTCATATGCATTCTTGAATTGTATTCACAAGAATGAAAACCTTAGGGCCTCCCCAGTGGTGCAGCGGTTGCGCGCTGGGTTGCGAAGCTGCCTGAAGCCTCCGCGGCGCCGATTCGATCCCCAGCCACTGGAGGAGGGTCCCGCATGGTGCACAGACCTCTCCTGCCACCCGCTGCTCCCCTCAGCAGTGTACTTCGGTCCTTCTGCCTGCTCTGCTCCCCGCTCTGGCTCTGGTGAATTCTCTCACCCTCCCGTGCTTCTGACTGTACCCAGTGCTTGTATAAATAAATAAATAAATCCTTAAAAAAAAAAAAAGAAAGAAAACCTTATAGCATAAGAAAATCAAAGAGTTGTCTGGCATATGTAGGAGAAACTGAATATTATTTTTATTTTTTGACAAAAATTAAAGTACTGCCTGTGTGTATTGAAGGTTTTTGGTAGACATACCCAAGTTTTCCACCACAATTCTACTCTCTGTAAATGGTTGGCATGGGTCCCATTTGAGTTCCTTGCATGAGGTGACTCACAAAAACAATATGTATATCACTCAGTGGCAAGGACTATAAGGCGTCTGCCAGGTGGGATTCCAGTTATCTAAAATAAAGGTAGAAGACATTCCGGTAGCTTAAGCAGTCTCCTGGCAGTGACCTGAACCGAGAGCACTCTGACGCTTATGGGTGCACTGTGCTTAGTTTCAAATTTTCATTTCTTAAGCCCTTATTCTTTTTTAGCTTTGACTGTTATATGTTGTGTATAACCATGAAAAAGATTGGTTTATGATATTCCTGCCTGGAAAGAAACCCAGGATAAAGGAAGCATGAAACCAAAAGTTAGAAGGGACGAGAGCCTTGAAAATGAAAAGGAAATGGCGAGAGTCTACGTAGTTGAAAGTTGATTAGTCTGTTCTTAGGTAGGACTTTCATCTTTACAGTCAGAGTCACGGAAATGGAAATCTCTTGCTGCTATGAAAAAGTGGGGTAGAATTTTCCTTAACAAACATATTTCTTCTTTGTTATTTGTTCTGCTCTAGCAATCTAATTCTGTATGTCCTCGTCCCATACCTTCACTAAAAGAGGGTAGACACTTTTACAGAATCCTTGCACACACGGTACACTAACAGTGCCCTGAAAGGGACTCATTTGTTTATTTGGAGTTAATTATTGAAAGGAAAGTATTAGATGCTAAGTGGGGGAAGACTGTCCCATGAGTTTACTTCCCTTTTTCTCTCACACGGATTTGTACTTACGGAGAGAAAAGAAAATGTCCCAATCTTCTCCAGAGTGATGTTAGAGAAGAAAAATGTCGGTGGAAGGATTCTGATACATAGACTTTGCGGTGTTTGGGAAGCACTGATTATTTATTAGTGTAATGAGCAAAGGGCTATGCAAATATACTTCTTGCTTTGTGACAAACCCTGTGCAGCACACATTTGAGGTTTGTGAGTTAGGTTTGGGTATTGCTACATGTATTCATGTCTTTCATGCAGGCTACAGTCCATGATATTGGTAAAGAGATGAAGGTTATTTTTCTCACTGAAGCAACAGCCTAGGAATGTTTGTCCCAAGTTACTCAGCTCAGCAGCACTGGAACTAGAATTAGCATTTAGTTCTGTCCTGAGTTCAGTTATATTCCCCAAATCTGCTGTTGCTGTTGGCAAGTTTGTTGAGCATTTTCACCATCTTGGAATTTACTGTAGAAATTTCACAGTGCACTGGTAGGTGCTTTCAGTTGTAGCCTCCCAGCTGTGAGGACTAGCATTCTTCAGCAGAGGAGGGCCTCCCGCTGCAGGCTTTGGGGTAGTTCAGTGGGTGGAGGAGTGACTGGATCCCTGAGAGGTGCTGACCTGACCTCAGGGACCAGTGCAAGATGATGTTGTAGACAGCTGAAGACTAAGTACCAGCTGTTTGGGATGGCGGCTAGTAGATTGAAAGCCTAGATGGAGCAGCTGAAACATTTAGGTTTGCTTGGGTGGGAAATAGGGAACTTTTGGTGGTGTTTTGAATGGGGTCATGATAATTGCACGTTGATTCCAGTTAGGTTTGAAGGGTAAAGGGCTTGAAGGCTTTGACCGCCAGGCACTGGAAAGAGAAGAAAATGCAAGGAGACCTGCTGCAGGAAAAATGGACATCTTGGTTGTCCATCTGGAATTCGGCAGCAAAGATGCATTGGGGTTTCCAGTAGATATCATG